ATCTGATAAGGCTTATGTATTACATTCTGTTTACTTGTATTTGAAAAATGACATTATTCTTGAGCTATTACACTTTGATTTCAATTCATAAAACAACTAGCCCATAAAAAACACTCACTTGCACAAGTCATTTTCGTATTAGAATCCATGACTCTGTTTTTGTGTTGGCAAGTGGTAGTCGACGGTGATTGGTGATTCTTACTTCCAATAACTTAAATACTGTTTAGACTGACTCTAATTTTTTCTAAATCATCTACAAGTTCTCAAAAGTTCAAATCTGACTTTAGAATTGAGATTTGACCTTCAATGACCTTTTCAAGGTCAAAAAGGTCAAAAAGGTTTTTCAACTTGCTTCAAATTGACCAATTTTTAAAATCATCTACAAGTTCTCAGAAGCTCAAATCTGACTTATGATTTGACCTTCAATGACCTTCTCAAGGTCAACAAAGGTATTTTTTCATCTTGCTTCAAATCGACCAAACTTTTTTCTAAAATCATCTACAAGTTCTCCGAAGCTCAAATCTGACATTAGATTTCTGATTTAAGCAAGCTCAAATCTGACATTAGATTTCTGATTTAAGCAACTAAGTGGTGAGATTTTGTCATTTTAATGCCTTGTTTCAATTCTTTTGACTCTCATTATAGCATAATGTACTTAAAACGAAGCCGCTTAATTTGAGATATACATACTTATAGTGTTTTATGATGCTATTGTCCATTTCATTAATTATTGTACATCATGAAAATCGTGTTTAAGTGTTACTCAAATCTGAACAATATTTTTGAGTGGCCCGATTAGAAGGGTAATTATAATGCATGTAGAATGTTCAAGAGGTCTTACAATTTATAATTTATTTGCAATAATTGACTTCACTTTCAACTATATAGTATCCTTTAAAGAGTTTCACTTGATTTTTGCTCAAGTAGAAATATTTCTATAGAAATACCTTTTTGTTGTGGGTCCCCACCTTTAACCTTTGTAATATGACATATGGCTGCTGTCATATCAAGTAATGAGCCTTTACCAAAGTCTAAGAGATGTTGTCACATGGTTGAGAATTCGCTATCATGAATTCTCTGGTTTATGTCAATCATATTCCCCAAAACATGGGCCGAGAGAAATATGGGTTGGTGTTAATGTTAGCCCATAATGCTTTTCAGTACAAAGCTTTTGGTATAATGATATGTGTGTGTGTTAGTATGATTTTAAAAACTACCTTTTGATATTGTAGAAAACCAGTTAACGGACATGTGTACATAAGGACTAAATTATGCATCTTGTTGCCCATTGATTTTCAACATCCTACTATACTCATCACATTTTTTGCATCACAGATTTCTTGATGAACATATATACATGTACCCCCTTTAAGGTAAAGCAGTTCCAAAAGATAGAGCCACCACAAATTTTCTGTTCAGTTTCACTTCCTACTTTTCCATGGATGACTTTGGTCAGAGACTAGAATAACAGTCACTATTGCATTTACATATCTATTGGTAAATTGTCCATTTCCTTGCATTAGATAATTCTTGAATTTCTCAAACCTGACAAATAGGGCATTTAACAGTGCATCATGCCTCTTATATTGTCTTAGAAAATATCATGAGTTGTCATGAATCAAGATCTAGGGGCCTCATAGCAAGACTGGGTAGAAGTACTTATGCTAAAGGTCCTATGCAGAGTTAGAAAATGTGTTTTAGCATTCAAATATTATTTCTCATGGCTTTTTTAGATTGAAGAAAAAACTGCATTTGGATTTTTTCTTTATCATTTTAGCAACAAATTTTTATGAATTAAATGTAAAAGTTTTTTATTCTATAAAAAGGATTGGATTAAATGTCAATATCTTCAATTTTATATCATCTTTGCAGTTTTGTCATGGATAATGTGGGTGATGCTCTCTGGCTGTGAAATAAATTCAATTTCATATTATATTAATCTTAAGTATTTGTATAGACTTTCTAAATTTAATAATTATGTTTGACTATCTTTAAAAGAATTAGTAGTATCACCTTAACTGAATTGGTTTTGATAAAACTAAAAAAATGCTATCGTCTTAGAACTATTTCACCTCTGACTCCTAGCTGTTATTGCGTTTCCAAGTGATTTCTTTCAGTGTATCATAACTTAATGTGTAGGCTATGCAGTAACCTTAAACAGTGTAATTTTTGGACTGACAAACTACAGTTATTTCAGTATACCACTTGAAATTATAGAAAAAAGAATCAGATGTACTTGATGATATTGAGTAAGATGAAAAACCCCAAACTTTCACAGGGCCTTTAATTGTCAATTTATACAAATCTGTCCAATGGCATCTTAAGATGTTTTCAACACTCCTTGTTCTTATTTACTTAATCAATCAAAACACAGGAGACATGGGTCAAGTAGTAAATTACAACTTTAAGATCATCTTAAACACACAAGCTGTTAAATCACAACATGATGAACAAAATGTTAATCTAATTCAACTATAAAAATATTTGGAGGATAAAACATGTAGATTGGCTTTGATGATCTTCAGAGTAAAAGTACTGAATTGATTTAGAAACTTTTGAGTGAGTTGATATATATAGACATCTTGATAGCATTATTGATAACTTTAATCTTAACCCTTTCCCCTTTTAATAAACATTATTTACAACAATATTTGATTTTAAAAGATCTCTGTGTCCAAAGTCCCTGTGAATACAAAACCTAATAGATCATCAAATTATTTGAACTATTTCCTATTTAGCGTTTAATATATTGTCGTAAGGAAGCAACAAAGCCTCGTAAAGTTTTTCAATTATGATGTAAGTAACAGGAATGAGAGTCGAACGTGTTGGATTGCACACATTGTATGACATCCCTTATGCACAATCGGTAAACTTTTCACAAGTTTGAAACTGTAGTCACCATATGATGATCCATTTAAATTATGCAACGATGATCAACCCACCGTCACAATAATGATAGATGTGCTCACTGAAGCATGTTTCACTCCATTATACACTTCTGTATTGGTTGTGACAGGTTTACACCTGGAGTTTGCTTAGGTTTCTTTACAGTTTTTGCTTAGGTTTCTTTACAGTTTTTGGTCCTCTCCCTTTGACACTTGTTTGCTTAGCTAGGTTTCTTTACAGTTTTTGGTCCTCTTCCTCTGGTACTTGTGCTTAAATATCTACATTTTTTGTTGCTGGATGTCACCATCAACAGGGTTGTGATCAGTATTGGCTTCCCTAACAAATGTTGAAAGTTTGTAATATGCATGGGAATCTTTTTATTCGTGCAAATTATAGATCGAAATAAAACATTATGATGTTTAGAATCCAAAATTATATAGACACTGTCCATTTAATCAGTCCTGGTGAAATAGAAAATTATGATTATTACCCTTTAGAGTTGAATTAACCTCAAGAAAAAGTATGATCTATCAGAATAATAAGTTCATTATCAAAAACATAAATTAGGTATGAACAACGATCATCAAATGTATTGGCAGATATGTTAGAATTAATCAATATAATTATTGATATATTAGTTCTATAAATACATCTGGTTATAAAGTATATGAATTGTCCTTTCACTTAAAGTAAAATACAATGTAGGCAAACAGTGATATGATATACTGCTTTCTGATATTTTATATACATTGATTTATACATGTATAATACAGACACAGTAAGACCTGTGTTAGTGGAACACTATTTGAGCAACACCTCAAACTAATGTAACTTAGGAGGTATTCTGCACAGAGGTTCATTTTACTTTGGGTCCTGGTCAATATTTTAATGTCCATCAAAAAACATGATCTTAACCCCCTCCCCCTTCAAACGTAGGCCAAAATGTTTGTGCGCAGTTTAATGAGTCATTGTTGACTTGCGTACAAGTAAAACCCCAGTATACAATATCTGCTACTACTATGAACAACACAATCAAATTCTCTTACATATCTCAAGAGTATTTTTACTATTTTTAATGATCATACCATGCCCATCATCTAAATACCATTTGACCCCCCTAACATAATTTTTGACACACATTGAAATATTAAGTGTTCCATTTATGAAGGTGATTTACTTTTAGAAGGGTTTCACTTCACAGGTTTTACTGTAGTAGGTTTCAGGGTCATTGATAATTTGCTAGATGAAATAGAAAAATGACCGTAAATAAGGAGTTCATCGTGACATCAGTAAGGGAATATTCCTACAAGCATAAAATAATAAAGTTACGTACCAACCCCATACAATCATAAAGTAAATATTTGCTTAAATGTTCTAAATGAGGCAATCTTTAATGCATTTGATACCTTCAACTTGATAAAATACTTTGCAACAGTTTTTTCCTGAGTGGTTATTCATAATATGATATGAGTTTTAGACATTTGTGGGCATGGGAAAGGCTGAACTAAATTCTATGACCTTCCTAAGTTCAAGGTTCTCATCTGACATTTAATTATTTTTTAATTCAACATTAATGTTCGTTATATGGCTGTGTGTTACCACTGTGTAATACAAACAGTAAAACCTGTAAAAGGTGAACATTATTGAGGCTTTCTAAAAGTGTTCACTTTGAGAGGTGTTCATTTCTGAGATTTTATGAAATTCTGAGTTAATGAAACATTAGGTTGAAAAAGTGTTCTTTTTTGAGATATTCATTTTATAGAGAAGTTGGCATACTCATACACATGATTTATGGGAATTGTATTTCTTAAAATTTTATTTGAGCTGTTTCTCACTGTTTATTTACTTAGGGATGATTGATGATTGAATAAAGGTACGCTGTACTCATAATAAGGTTCACCATTTGGATTCAAAAGTCACTGAAATAATTGACCACATGGACACCTTCATATCCCTTTTCTATTATTCATGATTAACAACTAATACATTTTCTTAATGAGTTGTCAGTGACATATAAAATGTATTGCATCATGAGGTACCAGAAGATTTTTTTTTAAATACTGTCTGGTTGGATTAATTGAGTCTGCTTTGTAATTTGTTAATTTTTTTCCTAGGGTAAAAGACAGACATATCAGGGCCATGCACGCTGGTCTGTCTGGAGTCGATGCAGCGTTACATGTGGACCCGGGGTAAAATCACGGGTGAAGCACTGCAAGCGAATGTAAGTGTACTTTTTCCTTCAGAAATGTGCTTTTGCACACAGTGTTTGACCTTCGTAGAATGTAGAATGATTTTCTCATTCATATAGGTATTTGTTTTAAAAATTATAGGGAACCGGAAGTAATACTTTCGGAATCCATTATAATTATCACTTTCCATAATTGTCACCACATATTGTTATGGTCTCCAACCTAAATAAAATGGAGGGTAGTAACTACATGTAATTTACAAATCTGAGTTAAAAGGCATACCATGGACCATGTATTCACCCACTTAAATATTTATTTGCACCTGGTTGAAACAGTTTTACAACATTTGTCAGAATAGGTTATACAAGTATAAAATTACATTGCTTAAAGAGATAACATACTTTTGTAGGATATCAGGAAAGCCATCATTTGACCCGACCCATTGCAAGAGACCAGTGACACAGACCAAAGTTTGTGACATTGTGGTAAGTTTCCTTACAGAATTTTATATTGTTAGCATCTTGAATTTGTTTGTAGAATCAATCATTAACAAGGTGGAGCTGTTGCCAGGATCTAAAAATGACAAGGCAATTTAAATAAGGCATATTTGTGTTATAGAGGGTATGCCATCATTGTACTTTAATTTCATTTTTAACCTGGTCTGTCGCATACCTAAATGCACCCCTAAAAAGCAGAGACATTTTATATGTCTCTGTAAAATGGGATCATGAAAATACATGGTTAATTTGAAACATTATCAAATCCTATGCTAAGAAATGCCTTGAAAAGGCATTGAATGCATGGGCCATGGTTCATTTATTATTTGTAACCCAAGTACCTACTATATTTCTTGTCAGGACTGCCCCGATGGCCGCAAGACCCGAGAGGTCCAATGTGAAAGATATAATGGCAAGCTCACCAAGTCTGGGACATCAGATGCAAGCCAGCAGATCAGAACATGGGAACCAGTCATAATGCGTAAGTGAAAATATTTGATCTTTTTGCAAAGTAAACCAAACCAAATTTTTTTTAGGGAGTTTTAGTAGGGATATAGAGAAGTTGTTTGTCTCTTTCATGCTCTTTTGTTTGGTTGACTCAAATACCTGTTGTTGGCAACCAATGAAATTGTTCATTTCAGAACATTTCAATGAAATGTCCCTTGGTGTTATGGTCCCAGATTGCGATAATGGCACTTGGGGGAGGGGGGATTAGACATTGTTTTTGGCTCATACAGTGAGCCTATGGGATCGACCAGGTGTCCGTTGGTCCGTCCGTCTGTCCGTCAATATTGGCTGCACAAAAAAGCTCTTGAAATTACAGTTTTTGGTGTTTACTCTATAAAATTTGACAAAAAGTAGGACTTTGTCATTTTCAGGGAACTTTCTCATGTATAAAGTCAATCATCATTGGCTGCACAAAACACTGTGTGAGCACAGGACCGTGGGTCCTTTATTTCACATTAGATCATGGTTTGTGAAAGTTGGGGTTTGTTTTTCTAATGACTTGTGTACTATTAGATGTGTTTATTCTTGCTGCATTATGAAACAATTTTTGGTCCTTCCCTTTGGCACTTGAATTATCAGTAACAACTACATGTAGAATCATCTTTATATATTACAGGAAAGTCTGAGTGTCAGTTATTATGTAGAGCAACTGGACACCGGTTCTATGCTAAGCTTGCTGACAAAGTTGATGATGGGACACCCTGCACAGATGGAGTCTGCTTCAAAGGAGTCTGTACAGTGAGTTAGCATTTTTAACATAAAAATGAGTGAAATTGCCATGAATTCAGAACTTTTTAGATGTCAAGAGCAATTCACAATTTCAAAATATTGTCCATTGATACTAATGATACTGCATGGAGAAACAAATCCCAACAAAAAACATATTTTGTCAAATAAAGTCTCAATTTTGAATGAAACTATAGAATTTCTCCAATACAATATAAACTTTTATTTGCTGTTGTTGAGTTGCTGCATTACACCTGCTGCTTGTAAAGATGTCTCTCATATCAATGGCCTTTTAGAATTCCTTTATTATTGGAGAGGTGGTCCTTTAGAGGTAGACCATTGAACAAAAACTTGACATAAATTTTGAAAAATCAAGGCCTTTATGTGAGGAATTTGAAAAATGTTTTAAGGATAATTTTGATGGAGCTTTGGCACGACTCCAATTTATTACTTATTGGGTGTTATGTTTCTATTTTAAAAGTTAGATATCTTATAAATCCCTGTTTGACTTGAGAGACTCTTTAAATTGACAAAAATACAGTAAAACTGGTTTAAGTACTTAGAACACCTTTGGTACATCTAGAAATATCGTGTTTCAGCTACAGAGGTTCACTTAATTAACATTAAGTTAGCTGGTCATGGAACTTTGAAAAGTATTCCACTTGCAAAGATGTTCCATTTACAGACGTCAGGCCTGTAGCCAGAATTTTCCAAGGGGGGTTCACTTTTCAAAAGAATTCTAGGGAGGGATTCACTTTGGCAAATTTGGCCAAAAATTACTAAAAAAATAGTCAGAATGGTAAAAACTGCATGATTTTGAAATAAGTTTTGACCAGGGGGGTTCGCCCGGACCCCCCCCCCTTGCTACGGGCCTGGACGTGTTCCACTTTACAGGTTTTACTGTAAATGTTTTTGTTAATCAATGAAAAAAACTTGAATGTTGCTATTACAAAACACAAAAATATAATAATGCCCTTTCCAAACATACACATTTCTCTCAAATTATCTTAACTGTTGAATCCACATACATTTTCAGAAAAACTTATAAAAAACATAAATCACAAATAAGAAATAAATCAAATAGGCTTTTACATTCCTGAAATAAAAATTCAGTTCCGGAGGAAATAAGTGCATGATAAATAGTTATTAATCTAACTCAACCCTGCATTAGAGAAAGGTATAACAAGCCACTTAAGAAATAAGATATCTATAATTAAACTAAATAATTTGGAGATATGCTGAATATTTCACTGATATTTCGACAAAGAGTACTGTTTTTAAGTACTTTAATGCATTCCCCGTAATTTATATTCTTGTATATTTAATTTATTTAGGTTTTTTTTCACAGAAGTTGATACCATTGCCACCATTACAGGTAATATCAACTTGAAGATTTCCCTAAGCTATACAATATGTGAGAAGTGATACAGGAGCAAAAATTACGTTGTATATCACTGTTAATTTCTAGGTGCCATTTGAGCTATACTCATGAGGCGAAACCCTGGGAATTTAATTCAACATTGGTCAAGTTTTAAATTCAAAATAAGACTAGAAAAAAAGGAATGTGCTCAGGTTTAAATACAGCTGTATAGTTAAGACCCCGAATAGTTTAAAAATCAGCAATTTGTTCATATTTTAGAGTGAATGGGAGAGAAATAAGTGTGAATATTTGATATTTTGAGTATGGTAGTCCCACAAAGCATGTATAAGTGGTCATGGTTCTTTGTGAACTCTATTTTAAGGAAAGTTAAATGGTTACACAACTCTCTTATTTCTCTCAATATAGGACTGCATAGTTACAGTTCTAGTTATTGTTAGTTTATTGATTATGTCTATGTTTTTCTCTCATATTCGTATGTTTAACATCAGACTATATAAATGTTTAGACGGGTAAGTTGAAAGATCATCCAATATTATAGAAGATTGTTAGTGAGGATGAATACATTGGCTTTAAGTGTATATCAAATTGCAAAAAGTGAATGTATACTGTTTAATATAAAGAAGTGCGAAGTCGCACCGCCCCTTAATGGTATGTACCAGCTTTTCACTAACATTCTTTAGGGCAAGAATGAAACTAGGGTTGAATACCTGATACTACAATCTGACATTTTCTTTTTATTACCTGGATCAAATTCCACGGTTTCAAAGCAGGCAAAGATCTTTTGTTTATTTGTAAATAACTGTATACCCTGCGAGCTATGTACAATGCCACTTTTACTATAGGCACTTTTCAATTTGCCCACTTTTGTTTATTTTCACGAAAAAAAATATTTACGGGATAATCCTGAAATTAATGAGATTTTGATTGAATGGATGAACAGCCCAGGTTTTGATGTACCAATAGTGTCAAAAAGAAAAATTGCTGTAATAGAAAAACTTTGATTAATTGAAAGAAAATGAAAGAGCGCATCATAGAATGTGATATAGGTGCCCCCTATATTTGACCTTTCAAAAGAAATTTTAAGGGGGCATATAACTTAGTCAAATTTATAAAAGGATACAAGGCTAGATAAGACTATTCCTAAATACATCACTATGGGGTATACAGATTCTGAAATGGCTGTGATATTTTCTATATTTATGAGATGATCCCTGAAGATAAACCTAAAAACTAAACTTTGAAATCATCCTCAAATAATGTCAGATCAGAAAAATGTTAATTGAAAAAGTAAATTCTGGCAGTTTCTTACAAAGTCATTGCATTAAACCTTAGGTTAATATTCATTCAAAACTATTCTCATGTGTTATAATAAACTAAAACTTTTGGCATGCTCCCTAATTGAGTAGAAAAATGCAATAGAAAAGAGTAATACATAATGGCTGTTGCTACATAAAAACTAACCTGATGATGAATGGGTTTCTATACAATTCAGAAGTTTCAGGTGGTTGAGACATATATTTCATAGCATCCTGGACAAAACTATTCAAAATAAGATGTTATTTTTTTACAAAATATGAGCAATAAATATCGAGGAATCAACAAGGAATCTTGAAAAAGGAATCATTATATAATAATCAGCTACATAAAGTTTGTTTCAAAATATGCGAAGGGACTATCAAAAGTGCTTTGTCATTAGTGATCGTTTTTTGGAAGATATCATGAAAAATAAGACTCTCTCACAGACAAGATAAAAGTCTGAGAATTTTGTGGTTATACGGCCAGAAAATACAGCGATTGTATTTTTTTTATTTCGGGGGAGGGAGTATTCATTTACAATTCATCTTTACAATTGGCTGTGTGAATACAAGACACCTGCATGGTAGACTTGAAGATAAAATCAAGTTTTTTCATTGCATTTTTTATTTCAATTGATGACAGTAAATGTTTTGTAAGGTATTTGAAGATATAGATCTGATCATTTGACTTTATACACAACAGAGCATCACAAGTACATGCCAGGAGAGGAGTATAAATATAACTAGAAATAACACAAAACAGTGAAGATAAATACAAATAAATAAAAGAACAACTCCAAACAGCAATACAAAAAGTAACGATTAAGTGAAATGACTTCGAATAGGAATTGAGACTAAATACCTAGACGTTATCCTGTATTTTTTCTTATGTGTTATTTTTTAAACCACCAATGAGGAATCTTAATGAAGATACTTAGCGATCTGACACTATCATTTAACAACATTTAAGAAGTTAAGTTTTTTTTAAACTACTGGTTGAAATAGAATTGGATCGCTATACAGTTATATGAGTGACACAATGTTGGGCTACATGTTAATAGGACTCTTAGCTGTCAGTGCTTTGGTAAGTAAGGTTCTTTTCAATTAAATCTTTTAACTAGATTTATTCTATACAATTTAAATAATTACATACAAGAATATATTGTACAGTAAATCCTATATACAATACACAATATATCAATGTATGTATAGAATATCTCCACTTTGAATTGAATACTTCGAAATGTGAGTACCTTTTTTCTGGTCCCATTATTGGTATCCCATTGAATTTCTTGTGCCAAGTGGTAGTTAAGTGGGATAAATAGGGTGATATGGATAAATAGAGAGGAGGGATAAGTATAGAAAGAGTAGGGATAATGGCCTTGAAGCAAATTATCCCTCAAATTTTTTATACAGTGATCTGATTAAAGCAATTAATGGTCAATCAGGGCTAAGCAGGGCTACATATAAAAGGGACAGTTTCCCCTGAGCTTAGCTTTATAAAAAGTGCACCTGTTCCAGTGATGTTCTTTGAAGACACTGGCAATCAGAGTCTATTTAGAGATAATACAAAACATGATGTTTCAATGACTGATTTATTGATTTATTAATTGAACTCTGATGCTACAGAATGAAAAACATAACAGTGAATAATAAAACAAATAATTTATTCTATAATAAGAATACCCATGTCATTTCGTGAAAGAGGCAAAAGTATTTCCCCCGGTAAAATGAAATGTCCTCTGCCTTGATTGTCCAACTTGATATATTCTATCTAAATCTATAGCTAAATCAAAGAATTGTTTCAAATTTAAAGGTGTAGGTGTAGTTCAAAATGAATAAAGGGTATGGAATAACAGGTAAAATATAATACAATCACCTTTCTGATTGGTTAAGACAGGGACTTTGTTATTTATCATTATTACACTTTATTACATCAATTAAAATCAACAATCTAAACAATTGCCAAAGTTATAAACATTGATAGCAATTTTATAAGAAAATTAGGAAAAACACAGGACTCTATACAAATAATCCCATGCCCTCAAAAGTTGTATATTAGTTGTTCATTTTGCTAGAAATTTTGCTAGAAAAACTGCCTCTTTGAACTTCAAAGAAAATAAAGAGACAAAAAACTCTAAATCAACTGTCAAGTAGCCTACGGATTTCTTGTTCTTATTGGTCCCAGTCCTCTTAGAATTTCTTTTGCCCAGAAATGATACATTGACAGAAACAAGTGATCTGTGGCACTTTTTTATGAGACACTTGTGATAATACGTTTTGATTGCCTTTTATAAATAGCCCCCTTGCGGTATATGCTTCCGAAAATATCCCAT